AGCCACGCTCCGCTGGATCACCAGGCCGGGAGGGGGGGTCCTGGCTGGGCGTGGGAGTGGGTGTGTGATATCCTCAGTATCCCCTCGCGAGGCCCCCGGTGGCAACGGCGGCTCCGAAACAAGGGCGAAAGCCAGGGGCACCCTGCAAGGCCAATTCCGAGTGGAGGTGGAGGAGGTGGAGGAGGTGGAGGAGGAGGAGGAGGAGGAGGCCAATTCCGAGCCAGTCGATCAATTCGATGGCGGCTCCTGCCAGCTCGATCCGATTCGATTCCGATGTTTCGACGATCCAGGGCTCCTGATATTTGAGTGGCGCCGTCGTGCGGCCTGGTCCGACGCAAAGTCCGGTTCGGTCCGGCTTCCCGAAGCGGTGCTGCCTGGTGGCCCTCTGGCGAGGACCCTCCAGATGCCGAGCTCACCACTGTCACGTTGGAGACGAAAGAGCAGAAGCTGCACTGGCGGGACTTCCTGAGCGAGGCCGTGTCCCAGCAGTGCGCGCGGTCGATATATCGAAGACGCCTCCGGCGAATCATCGCTGCGGCCCGCCTTCCTGGAAGCGCCTGTGTAGTAAGATATCGAGCGAAGGTGCGGCCATGCTCGAGGTCTGGGTGTTCTCTCAGCGCTTGCGGGCGTCACTGCAGAAACACTGGAGGGGGGGCCCTCTGCGGTCATCTTTGGGCTCTCTTGGTGTTTTTTTGGGGAGGGGTTCGAGCCACGTGGGCCCTTTGGGGGGCCTCTCGGGGCTCTCTCGGGCCACCTTGGGGTTCGGGGCGTCACTGCGGAGACACTGGGGAGGGGCCCTCTACGGCCATGTTTGGGCTCTCTTGCTTTTTTTGGGGGGGGGGGTGGAGCCATTGGGGCCCTTTTGGGGGGCCCCCTTCCTCCTTGGGCCACCTTGGGGGTTCTCTGGGGTCGTCTCGGGGCTCTCTCGGACCACCTTGGGGGTTCTCTGGGGCCGTCCTGGGAGTGCTCGCCGGGCCGTCGGGCGCCTCGAGAGGCCGTTTTTTTAAGGGGGGCGGGGCTGCACCGTCTTGGGGGCCTCCTCTTGGGGGGGTCTTTGGGGCCGTCTTTAGAGCCGTCAGCCGTCTGTGGGGCCGTCGCGTGGATGTCTCAGGGCGAGACAACCACGCGACGGCCCGTCAGTTCGCCTTTCTGTTGCCCCGAGCAGCTGCACGCTGGAGCGGACTGCCTCCGCCTCGCTGCCGGCCAACAAAACGGGTGTCACGGGGCCTTCTTGGGGTCGTCTTGGGCTGGCGTGGGGCGATCTTGGGGGCCTCTGGTCACCGAATGCGTTCCACTGCTTGCAAAGTGCCTACTCGCAAACGTTCGAAGCATATTTGTTTGCTTCGATGAAATTTATCGTCCCCGCGGTGGATCCAGACCATTTGCGAGTAGTTACTTTGCAAGGAGTGGAACGCGCTCGTCGATTTGGGGCCGTGATGTGATGTCTGCAGCCCGAGGATGCGAGAGCGCGAAACCGATAGAAACACCTTACATCAATGCATGATTTGGGCCTCCTGGGGGCCTCCTGAAAGTCATCTTGGAGCCCTTGTGGCGTCTTTGGGGCCTGCAGGACCATCTCGAGGTCATCTTGAGCTGTCTTGCGGCCACGTTGGGCTGTCTGGGAGACATCTTGGGGCCATCTCCGACTCTTGGGGTCATCTTGGTCGTCTTGGGGGCGTCTTGCGGCCATCTTTCAGGCCATCTGGATAATTTCGGGGCCACTTTGGAGCCGCCCTGAGCGGAACAGCCTGCGGGGTATACTCCGCCCGGGTCCTCCAGTGTGGCTGGCGGGCTGGTCTGGAGGCAGCAGCGAAATTCTGGAAGGGCCAGGCACTCTACGGGCAGGGCACATTTTTTTTTATGGGGACCTCGTGAGGGCTTCTTGAAAGCCTCCTGTGGTCCTCTTGGAGGCGTCCTCGGGTTCTTCTCTCCTGGGCACCTCCGCCACTTATCCCGAACGAGCGCGCGCGTAGTACACTTCTCATTACAAGGGGGCCCCCAGCTTGAAGTCAGCACGAACGAAATGGGTACGGAAAAAAGGGGCACAGTGCCCAACAGCAGTTCCTGTTCATTTTGGACAGGACTCGCTGTCCGCGCCGCCGCAGCCTGTGTCCATTTGAGACAAACGGCCGCCTACCCAACAGCGGCCGCTGTTGGTTTGGGACAACGTTTGTGGTTGGGCATTGTACACATTCTTTCCGTACCAATTTCGGGCGTCCAAATAAAGCTACCCCCCCTCCCTTGGAAAGGGGGGGGGGCTTCCGAAGCTATCCCCCCTCCCTTCCGTGGGCATTTCGGAGCTAGGGAGGCCCTAGCTCATGGGGGGGGCTTCCCCCCTTCCTTTCCAGAGCCCAAGGTCAGCCTGGGCTCCCCTTTCAAAAGGGTGGGCTTCCAAAGCCCCCCCCCTGTTGGTTTGGATTTTGTAGCTGGGGGGTCCCTGGCTAAGGGGGGAGGGGGGGGGCTTCGAAGCGAACCCCTCTCCCCTCATTTTCGGGGCCCGGGGCAAGCCCAGGCTCCTCTTTCCAAAGGGGGGGGGCTTGCGAAGCTCCCCCCCCTTGTGTCGGCCCGCCCAGCCGGGGGGCCTGGCCGAAAAAGGGGGGCCCCGAAGCTACGATAAAGCGCGCCCGTGGTGCACTCCCGAAAAAGGGTGGGTCCTCCCTTGGCTACCCCCCGTCCCCTCCTTTGTTCTGCCCCTCGGAAGCTCCCCCCCCCTCCCCCCTCTCTGTCCAAAGGGGGGGGCTCAGCTACCCCCCCCCCTTTGGATCCCCCTCCGACCCTCCCCCCTCCTTTATTCCGCCTCTCGGAGCTGTCCCCCCCTCCCCCCTTGCGCGTTCAGGAAGCTGCCCCCCCCCCCCCCCACTCCCTTTCCAAAGCGGGGGGGGCTCAGCTACCCCCCGCTTGACCCCCCCTGCTGGAAGCCCCTTCCCCTCCTCCTCCCTTCATGGGCTACAGGGGGGGGGCTTGGAAACCCTTCCCGCTTTGGCTAATGAAGGAGCGCCGAAGACCAAAAGGGTGCCGAAAGCCAACAGAGCGCCAGAAACCAGGGCGCCACCGAAAACCGAAAGGTGCGACAAAAAAGCAGACGCGCCGCCGCAAACCGAAAGAACGCCGAAAACCCAAAGGGCGCCGACAATCAAAGGGGCGCCGAACATGAACAGAAAGCGGAAAGCCAAAGGAGCGCCGAAAATCAAAGGGGCGCTGAAAACCAAAGGGGCGCCGAAATCAAAAGTGCGCGGATAAGCAAAAGAGAACCCACAACCAATAGAGTGCCGAAAACCAACAGAGCGCCGAAAAGCAAAAGAGCGCCTAAAAGCAAAGGGGTGCCGAGAACCTTCCGAACGCCGAAAACCAAAGAGGCGCCGAGAAGCAAGTGCGCGTCGAAAACCAGCGGGGCGCTGAAAACCAAGGAGTCGCCGAAAACCGAACGAGCGACGAAAACCAGAGCAGCGCCGAAAATCTAAAGGGCGCCGAAAACCAAAGAGCACCGAAACCCAAAAGGGTCGCCGGACTTGGAAATGACGCCAGAAACCAAAGGAGCGCCGAAGACCAATAGGTCGCCGACAGCCAAGGGTCGCCAAAGCGGCGCCGAAAACCACAGGAGCGCCGAAAACCAAAGGAGCGCCGAACACCCAACGGGCGCCGAAAACCTTCCGAACGCCGAAAACCAAAGAGGCGCCGAAAACCAAACAGGCGCCGAACACCCAACGGGCGCCGAAAACCAGAACGAGCGCCGAATACCTAAATGAGCGCCGAAAACCAAAGGGGCGCCGAAAACCAAGGGGGCGCAGAACACCAAGGGGAGGACGAACAACAAAAAAGCGCCGAACACAAAAAGGAGCGCCGAACACCAAATATGCGCCAGAGACTGCAAGGGCGTCGGAAACCAACGGGACACCGAACACCAAAGCGGCGCCGAAAACCAAAGAGATCGCCGAAAACCAAAGAGGCGCCGAAAATCAGAAGGGAGCGCCGACCACCAAAAGGTGCGCCGAAAATTAAAGGAGGCGCCGAAACCAAAGGACGCGCCGAGAATCAAAAGGACGCAGCGCAGAGAACCAACCGGAGGACGAACACAAACACACATGCCGAACACAAAAAGGGGCACCGAAAACCAAAGGTGCGCCAGAAACGCAGAGCGCCGAGAGCAAACGGACACCGAAAACCAGCGAGGCGCCAAAAAGCAAGAGGGCGCCGAACGCCAAAGGGGCGCCGAACACCCTAGGGGCGCCGAAGACATTTCGAACGCCAGAAACCAAATGTGTCTCCGAACACCAATGATGCGCCGAAAACCACAAGCATGTAGAACAACCAAAGTGGCGCCGAAAGTTCAGAGAGCGCCGAAAACCAAAGGGGCGCCGAAAGCCAAAAAGCGCCGAAAACCAGAAGGAGCGCTGAAAACCGAAGGGGCGCCGAACACCAAAGAAGCGCCGAAGACCAAAGGAGCGCCGAACACCAAAGTGGCGCCGAAAAACCAACGGGGCACCGATAACTAAAAGGGCGTCGAAGATTCGAGGGCGCCAAAAAGAGGCGCGCCGAAAGCCGAGGGGCGCTCAAAACCAAAGAGGCGCCGACAGCTAAAGGGCGCCGAAAACCAAAAGGGCGCCGAAAATTAAAGGGGCGCCGAACATCAAAGAAGCGCCGACAAACAAGAGGGAGCCGAACACCAAAGGGGCACTGGAACTCAAGCGGGCGCCGAAAACCAACGATGCGCAGAAAAACAACAAATGCGCGCAGAAAACTAAGAAGAGCGCTGAACACCAAAGCGGCGCCGAAAACCACTGGAGCGCCGAAAACCAAAGGAGCGCCGAAAACCAAAGGAGCGCTCCAAAGGCCTAAGGAGCACCGAAAACCAGAGAGGCGACGAAACCCAACGCGACGCCGAAAACCACAAGCACTCCGAAAGCCAACGGGGCGCCGAAAACCAAGGAAGAAAGTAGCTTCGAAGCCCCCCTTTCTGCCAGGGCCCTCCAGCTGGAAAACATAAAGGAGCAGGAAAACAT